AACCTAGTGATCGTCATGTCATCTCATAAACAAAACGAGCGGTTGTAAATGTTGTACCGACGGAGGAACCATCTCGTTCGAAGTCAACTCGATTTTTTTTCGTTCTGAGGGGAGAGATGTGTAAATGCCAAATGGAGACATAATGTGTGTGTGTGCGTGTGTGTGTAAATTTTCAAATAAAAAACGATAGATTGGGAGCTACAATTTTTTTTTGACTTTTTAGCACATGCACTATTTTTTTCTCAAAGTCCAAGATTTTGTTTTTCATTATGCAGCTCGCAATTTAATGTATTTTATCCTCAGATGTTTACACACATACATATTACATCCTAGCATACATGTATATTTTTTCAGAATTTTTTGAAATGATTTTTTTTAATTTTGAATTGTTCAAAATTAAGGCCTCCAAGGAGTTCGGTCTCCGAAATGCACTACTCGAAAAAACTGGTCCAATCAATCAAAGTGATCGTGATGGCATTTCGTAAACAAAATTGAGTGTCATTGAAGCATAACACACACTTTGCTCTGGAAGGTGGGCTGCATCGCACGTTGCAACATGGGACGGGCCCAAAGCATACCAGTAGCCACGAGCAACTGAGCAAGCGTCACTCGCACTCACTAATTTGAATGCTCATGAAATTGAAAAAAATTTATTCGCTCAGGAATTTGAAATTGTACATGTTTTTTAAATCATGAATTGTTAGAACAAAAAAGTACAAGCAAACAGGGAAATTATATATGAAAAAGGCTAGAGAAAACCAGATAAACCAATAAAAAGACCCTGCAAAAAAAACAATAAAAAAGAGAAAACGATGAAAACCACTAGAAAATTATAGGAAACCAGTATAAAACGGAGAAAATAAAATAAACCCAATGACATATACCTAAACCCGTTAAGAAGTATCCCAAAACTAGCCCCCAACCACCTAGAGGGACCTCCTATTTAGCGCGCTACATGCTAGTGAACGAGCCAGCACACACGCCCGTCCTCGGGAAAATATCTGCTGTTCCGGGAGCACCTAAGCTTAGGTGCTCCCTTGCGAGCTCGGCCGTTGGATCTCAGATCCAAGATCTCTTGTGAAATGATGAACATTTTTGCAAAAAAGCCCTCGTAGAATCTAAAAAATGCGTGCAAGTACAGCAGCTCCTCGTATGTCGTTGGATCTGAGATCTAAGGGCCCAGAAGTCCGTATCATGGGAGCACCTATGCTCCCTATCACAGGATACTCTCTTACCCGTCCCCTGCATGCCCTTTTGGTCCGGCCGATATGAGGGGTGGGATGCCCCTTATTTCCCTTTGCTTTCTCTTTGTTTTGTAAATTAATTTGGGATATAAAAAAACTTCCAAATTTCAATTGAGTTTTGACAAAAAGGTTCAAGAAATCATAGAATATTCGTGGATCCAATGTCAATGTTTGCGATTTTGAAACAAAAGTTTGCATATTCAAAAAAATCTTCATGATTTTGAAAAAAATGTTTGTGTGTTTGAACAAATGTTCACGAATTAAAAAAGTGTTGTTCGATTCATTATAATGTTAACGGGTTTCAAAATAATCTTCACCAATATGTAAAAAATGTTCATGGTTTAGGAAAATGCAACAAATTTGTAAAAAAAGTATTCATGATTTCATAAAAATGTTTGAAAATTATAAAAATCTTCAAGATTCCAAAAAATGTTCAAAAATCTAAAATAATGTTTGCGAAGTGAAAAAAATAAATGAAAAACTAATAATAGAAACAGAAAATAATTGTTTTTAAAACGAACATGAAAAAATAACAAAAAAGTAGAAAACAGAAAGAGAAAGAAAAGTAACCTAAAATAAAAAGCAAGAAAAACCCAAATAGAAAAACAAAATAAGAAAAGTCTAGTTAAGATTCTCCCAAAAACGAAAAAGCAGCTAGCTGGGTCAGCC